GTGCTCCTATGTTGGGTGCATATATATTTATAATTGTTATATCTTCTTCCTGGAGTGATCCTTTGATCATTATGTAGTGTCCTGTTCTGTCTGCTTTTTGATTGGGTTGCTTGTTTTTCTGCTATTGACCTGTATGACCTGCTTCATCTTTGTTGGCTTTTCTTTTGCTATTATTTTTTCTCTTTCTGCCTTTCACATTGTCCGTAATTTCCCCAGACTTCCAAAAATGCCAAGCCAAAAGATAGAGCAAAAGATAGAGATGGAAAAAAAAAGAGACAAATGATTTCAAAATGGGGACTTGTGCCCCAGGGAGGTAGTTGTGAAGGAGGAAAAGTATCCACATACTCAGAAACTCCCTCATGAGTGGGAATTGGAGAGAACCCTTCAAAACCTCAAAGGAGAACACTGCAACAGGGGCTTGGAAGGCAAAACAGAAAGAATTCACCACAGAGATAGCTGCCAAACAGCACTTCCCAGCCAGGAAGCAGCTTACATGTTCACCATGGTGAGTGGGGGCTGGATGCTGAGGCTCGGGCTTCAGGGGTCAGATCCCAGGGAGAGGACCAGGGTTGACTGTCACGAAGATACTCTGAGGGGGCTAATATGACACAGTGGAAGGAGTCCAGGGAAAAGCATGGGCCTCCCAGAGAGGCAAGAGATGATTGCTGCAGGGACCCTCCAGCTCCCTGCACTCACAAATTGCCAGAAGCTGCCTTTGTGAATGCCAGAGGTGGGATGAACAATGGCTATGAACTGCCAGCACCAGAAGTAGACACTCCTGTTCAAAGCCAGCGCCAAAGTAGCAGGAGTGCCCAAAGTGTAAATAGACACAACTACAGTTTCCATTCCCAGAGAGGGAAATGCAAGCAGACAGGCCACTGCCAAACCCAGGTAGAGTGCCTGAGGCAGCAAATGAAAGTCTGCCACAGTGGTCCTGACCCACAGGTAGCAGTTGCCACCAACCCATGAGAAGGCACATGTTACTGTCCACACCTTTCCAGGAGCCTATGCAGCTTGGTTCTTCCTAGGGACCCACGACCCAAAGCCAATACCTCTGGGAGAGTGCGTGACCTGCCTCAGACTGTAGCGGACTCTGCCTCTGCGGGCACTCCCTGGTACATCCCCATGTGGCAGTCGTATCCCTCCCTCTCACCAGCCCAAATGAGTGAGCCCTCTTGTCTGGGCAGGGAACAGACACCAGAAGGCGGCCTACAAGCAGAGACAGGACCAGAACCAAAGCAGAGCACCAGGGGTTGTGTGACGGAAGAAGAGGAAGGGCATTCACTCCTGTAGCAGCAGGTATAATGGATTAAATCCCCAACTACCATTAGCTTTAAAAAAGGGCTTCCCAGGTGGGTCAGACGGTAAAGAATCTGCCTGCCATGCAGGAGACCTGGGTTTGATCCCTGGGTCAGGAAGGTACCCTGGAGAAGGGCATGGCAACCCACTCTAGTATTCTTGCCTGGAGAATCCCATGGACAGAGGAGCCTGGTAGGCTACAGTCCATGGGACTGCAAAGGATCAGACACGACTGAGCAACTAACACTTCATTAGCTTAAGATCGTGGACTTTAAGGGCAATTGTGGGCACTGGAAGTAAGAACAAGCTGGAGTAAGGCCAGATCTGAGCAGGAGCTGACTCCACAGTGTTCACAGCAGGCTCAGAGACCTTCCTAGAATTATTGGAGGACTTCCTGAGTAGGCAGACTGGCTGGTGCTCACTGTGTGGAGACTTCAAGGGAGGACTTAGGAAGATATTCTCACTACCACTCTCTCTCTATATAAATACATATATATATATATTTTCTTTTTCATATTGTTCTAATGTTGTTCTCTCTTTATTATTCCTTTAATTTTTATTTCTTTACTTCACTTTGTCTTTAAAAAACATTTTATTTTTAAATAGAATTATTTTCTTTTTTTACAGTACTCGTTAGTCATATTACATTTTTTTCCATGTTTTTGGATTTTGTATTTTTGCAAGTCTAGTTTTTAGTATTCATTTCCAGTTAGGGGTTTGTTTTGGCTTGATTGCTCTCTTCTTTTTTCTTTTTTGAACTTTTTATTTTATATTGGGGTATAGCCAATTAACAAAGTTGTGTTAATATCATGTGAACAGTGAAGGAACTTGGCCATACATATATATGTATCCATTCTCCTCACAACCATCCAAGCTGCCACTTAACATTGAGTGGAGTTCCATATGTTATATAATAGGTCCTTTTTTTCAGTTGTATTTATATTTTTTAATTATGGATATATATATATCACAAAATTAGGTCAATAATAGATGGATACACATATATTCATGTATATGTGCTTTGTAATCCCTATAATATCAATAATTACCTCGAGTCATCTCCCAACTTATTACATACAAATAATATAACCAAGAAACAAGGAGATTTCCTTATTGAAATCACACCACAATTATCCACTATTTAGATAATAATAGCACCTTTAAGATTTGTTCTGAGAGTAATAAACAATCTGACTGTTCAGCCACATCCTAATCTATTTCATATGTGAATAAAACTAGTCAAGGTCCTTGTTTATACATGGAATTTAAAAAATAAATACAAATGAACTTACAAAACAGAAGGAGACTCACATACAGACAATGGATTTATGATTGCCAGGAGGAAGGGCTAGTTAAGGAGAAGGGGATGGGCTGTGTTTAGAATGCAGCTCTTCTTTTTTGAGTCCTGTTTTTATCATTTTTTCTTTTTTTCTTCTTTTCTCATAGTAAGTATGTGAGTCTGGGTGTTTGAGTGTTGTTTTCACCCCACTCACACCAATGGGCAGATCATCAAGATAGGAAATTAATATGGAAACACAAGCATTAAACAAAACATTGGACCAATTGGACCTAATTGACATTTATAGGGCATCAGTGCTAATAGTAAAGAACCTGCCTGCCAATGCAGGAGACAAAAGGGGTGCGGGTTCAATCTCTGGATTGGGAAGATCCCCTGGAGAAATGACAACCTACTCCAGTATTCTTGTCTGAAGAATTCCATGGACAGAGGAGCCTGGTCCATGGGGTCACACAGAGTTGGGCATCACTGAACGACTTTCACTCATTCATTCATTCACTTGGATTTCAAGTAGATCAAGTAGTTTTCAATTTTCTTATTGAAGTAGATTGTTTAAAATAGTTCCTAGAGATGAATTATTCCAGATGGATATATTAATCATTGAGCTTCCCTGATAGCTCAGTTGGTAAAGAATCTGCCTGCAATGCAGGAGACCCAGGTTCAATTCCTGGGTTGGGAAGATCCCCTGGACAAGGGTGATAGGCTACCAGTCCAGTATTCTTGGGCTTCCCTTGTGGCTCAGCTGCTAAAGAATCTGCCTGCAATGCAGGAGACTTGGGTTTAATCCCTGAGTTGGGAAGATCCCCTGGAGAAGGGAAAGGCTACCCACTCCAGTATTCTGGCCTAGAGAATCCCATGGGTCCATGGGGTTGCAAAGAGTCTGACTTGACTGGATGACTTTCATTTTCATATTAATCATTAAGGAAATAATTCTTTATAATTCTTGATGAATAAAGCTCTGCCTTCCTTTTATTTGTAAACCCACTTGCAATGGCCACTACTATTCCAATGTACTAAGCATGGGAACAAGTATACCTCAAGGAAAAACATAAAATATATCAAGGAATAGGGAGTAGGAGGGTGGAGAGAAAAAAGAAAGCGGTGGTAAAGAAGAACTGTTGGAGTAGGAGATGTAGCAAGAAGGGAAGGAAAAGTCTAAACATAGTCATTCTGAGCTCAAGCCCAAGAAATAGGTAACAATCTTGGTTGTCTAACTATTCCAACAGTCTTGGAATAGTTAAAGCTTCTCCTATGTTTTTGTTGTAAACTGGTGTGTGTGTGTGTGTGTGTGTGTGTGTGTGTGTGTGTGTGTGTGTGTGTGAAGGGAAGAGTTACTTGACATGTTGAGGCTTGAAGGAATCTGGAAACATCAGAGATTCTTGGTTTTATATACTTACACTGCCTTCTACCTGGAAGTCTATTTATGGTTAATGAGACTCTCAGTCAAGGAAGATTTTGAAGAATGGTAAAGTAACATTGAATACATTTAATCCAGAGCTCAATGACTTATATTTTAATAACAGCCAAGCTGTGATCAATTCATGGGGTCTCCATCAAATCCACCCAGCCCATACCCCAGACTAATGCAAACTCTATCCATATAAACCTTACATTTACCCTCCTTGAAACAAACACTGGTTAAAAAAAACCTAACTCCAAACCCCAGCTCTATCTTTATCCTTAACCCCAATCTCAAGACAAATACAACACTAATCAACACAACAAATGCAACACTTAATAAGTCTATCAACACCAATATCTAGCTTCAACTCAACAATTGACCCATTTATTCCCAGCTTTACCCAACTTCACTGAAAGATCCATTAAATCACAAATATAATTTCCAACCCAACCTATCTCAAACCATCAGCCCATCTTAATTGTTGTTGTTCAGTCACCCAGTCATGTCCAACTCTTCGTGACCCCATGGACTGCAACACACCAGGCCTCCCTGTTCCTCACCATCTCCTGGAGTTTGCCCAAGTTCATGTGCACTGCATCAGATACAATCCTTCACTTCCAATTAATCATGATTTATTTTTCTACCATCACTCCAGCCAAAAGGTCCTATCCTCTGTGCAACACAATCTAGTTTCCAATCTCCAAAGTAACATTTTGGTTGATCTTATAATTTCCCAGCTTGGACTCAACTCCTCACACCTAACCCGTATCCCAAACTCTCATCTCAATGACACTGCTATCTTAACATACTCCATGCCCAATTTTCTCCACCATTACACCACCCAGGAGCACAAAATCCTTGAGTTAAACATAGCAGTGCAAGCCAGTAAGACTCTGGTATTACATGAACTTGGACTTAACACCCTAAGCCGTCTGACACTAGGTCACCAAAATTACAAACCATATGCAGGACCCCAGAACCTTTGAGAGTAGCTTGAGTTACCTGAAGTCTTATGAACCAGGATCAGAAGGATGACAATGGTCATTAAATAAGTCTTCATAACTGATAATTTCTTAGAGAATAAAAGGTACACACAGCAGATAGAATAGAGATTTTTGTAGCAGGGAAGTGTCCTGCTTTATTAGTTTTAAAAGTAGGCCAAAGTTGTGGGCAGTTAGCTGAGAAGGATGGGACATGCCTGAAGTCACTGAGGCAGAAAGATAATGTGTATGACATGTTTTATCTGGACACTCTGTGTGAGTCTACAAGCTTTGCCAGCACCCATGATAAGGTGGGACTTCCTTCCCAGTAAGAGACAAAGTAAAATTAGAGCCAATTTGTGTTTTGTGTAAGACAAACTGGAATGAATGAGAAAATAAATCAGACAACAAAACAATAAAGTAAATAATTATAAGGATTAAAAAAAACTTTTAAAAAATGTATTTCCTTATATTCCTGTAAAGAGTTTATCACATTAATCAACAGCACTTACTTCATATATAGCACTATACAAACCATCAAGATAAAAGAAAAGAAAGAAGATGGGGGAAGTTGAAGGAGAGAGAAAAGAAAAGGAGGGAAATATGAAAGATGAAAAAATAAAAGTCAGAGAGTAATGCAGTAAGATGGCAGACTAAGAGATCACAGTAGTAGTATTCATCCTGTAACAAAAACAGCTCTGGGAGAGCTCCAGAGTACAATGAAGCAGCTACAATAACCCAGTGGAAACTAAAAACAAAAGATATCGGCATAGAAAAGTGCAGGAAGTTACTTGCACCACCATATCCCCCAGTCTAGCAAAGTTTAGCAGAAAGAAAAGTCTCTCAGTAGCAACCTCTGTCTCCAGAGGAAAAGGAGAGAGGAAGGACCCCAGAAACCTTTTGTCATCAAGGAAGAAAGCAGCCCTCACCACCCAAAAAAATAAAACCAAAAACCACCCACACCTAAATGTTTTACTACTGAGGACTCCTGCAGTCTCTGCCAATGATAAACCTAGCCAACAGAACTGCCCAGAGCTCATACTGCTACAGGAATCCTGTCCTCAGCAAAATCCTCTAAAAATGAAAGAGAGAAATTTCTAGGAGACTAGGGAAATTGGGGCATGTCAAAATATCCCTTCTAAGGTGAAGGATAAGTTGTTGCGTCTGGCCGCTCCTATAACCACAAAAGAAGTACATGCTTTAGCGGATCTCTATAGAAGTTGGAGGCAAAATGTTCCTTATTTTGGTGTGTTTCTGTGGCCTATTTACCAAGTGACCTAAAAAGCTGCTAGCTTTGTGTTGGGTCCCAAACAGAAGAAGGCTCCACAGCAGGTCCCGGCTCCTGGGCAAGCTGCTCTGTCACTTGCACTATCTGGTCCAGGAGATTCAGTGTGTTGTAAGTGTCAGTGGCAGATGGAGAGGCTGTTTGGAGCCTTTAAAATAGATGATTTCATACAGGCCTTTAGGATTTGGGAGAAAGACCCCACCATCATCTGCTTCTGCTGACTGGAATAGTTTTAGAAGAACTTGGGGCTTTAGGATTCTCAACTCATCCCTCCAAGTGTTTCATGCCAAATCCGAGAATCCAGTGTTTTCCCTATCAGAGTCCTGGCTTTGACATGAGTCCCACGGAGTTCATACATTTAGTCTCCTTTACAATTCTGCTACCTTTATATTCAGATCCTAAGCCTGAATGTCAGTGCAGTGTCTTGTGACAACAGAAGGGAGTCTCCCTTAAATCTGGTTTTTAGAACATGGCTTAGTTTGACCATTAGTTGCCTTAAGCCTATCACATTTTTTTTCAAAACTATTATTTCAGTCAGCAACTCTGCACCATAATCCTTCTATTTATCTTTCTAATCCTTCTAGTTACTGCCCCCATGCTAATCTAGTATAGCAGCCACTTGATCTTGCAATGTTTTATTGTTCATTTGTATTTCATTCCATGTAAACAGGTGGAAGTTTTAGTAATAGTGCTACCATTATGTGCCAGGGTAATACCACTCTGCTTATCATTAATAATAAGATCCCCATTCCTTTCTAAAAGGTGGAAAATCCAACTCTAAATAACATCCAAAACTCTGCTTTCTAGGACTACTGATATCAGCTGTCTTACCTTGGACTCCAAAGAACACTGGTTCTCAAAGTGTGGTTGATGAACCAGTAGTATCAGCATTACCTAGGAACTTGTTATAAACACAAATTCCTGGTCTCTATCCCAGATTTACTGATCAGGGACTCTCAAGGTGGGCCCAGCAGACTGTGTTTTAACAGGTTTGAGAACCACTGCCCTGGAAAGCACTCTAACATTTCATGTGGGATAACCCAGAGCAGAAATGGATTCAAGGAGTTACATTACCAAGTTGGCCACAGCTTCAAGAAGAAAATTAATCAACTGTTTGGTTATCAAGGCAGTACACTGATAGTTGGGGTGGAGAGAGGACAAGAAGAGAGGAACATACCTGGTGGTTCTTCCTGTATCAAGGTCTTCATTGCTAAAAGTTGGCCTCATGGACAGTAACTCCTCTGCTTTTCCAAGCTGCATCAAATAGCACCTGCCCTGCTAGCAGCCACTGCAGAAGCCAATCCGGACTCCCCAACATGTAACACTTCTCCAGAAACAGTGAAAGCAGTCAGAGACTGCACAAACTTGCTCACATCAGGCTCATGTGCTGAAGCTGCTGTGTTCCCATCACATCGGCATGATACAGTCATCATGCAGGAGCCAAGCCTCATTCCAGATGGTGGATGTAGGCGCTGAAGTGATGGCAGGGCTCTCCTATGAGCAAATGACTAAAGGCCTAAGAAGTAGATGGGGTCAGGAAAACCGCAGGAGGCATATAAAAGTGGGTCCATTTCCCTTGTTCAGTTAAATGCCAAAAATAATGCAACAAAATTTAATACACTGCATATGACTTACAGCTTGATTTTTACTCAGTTATCCATTGGCTTAGTTCCAGTGCATCTTATTTTCTGTGTCTATAAACAAAATTAAATCTTTCAGAGCAATCTCATTACTAAATATCCTTATGTCATTTTGAAAATGTATAATAGTTCATTAAAATACTAAGAAGGTTCTAGCCCTTGACATTTATGCATAAGATCATGTTCCAAACTTCTGTTTAGAACTTCTGAGTGACTTTGACCTCTTTAACAATTTTGAGATTGACAATACAATTTCAATGCGTATTAAAACAGCGCTTGTTGTATTTATCAATTTGATTCAGCGTGAAACTTACAACTTATTCCAATGTGTAGTGATTAACAGGGTCCTCTTAAATTGATGGTACAATTCATCTTTAACATTGATTGCCCAAAGCATCCAAATTTCACATGTTAAAATGGACAAGGAAATATATGTAGGAGATACAAAGAAATAGTTATATATATATATATATATATACCAGACTTGGGGTTACATATCTTACATACATAATTATATTTATTGCCCACAGTTACTCTTTATACTATCATTGATGAGTTTGAGTCCACATGGTTTTCCCTCTATTTTAAGGCATTAGAGACTGAAAACTAACTGGAACAAATTTGAAGGCTGCAGAAAGTGTTGAAAATTTGGTGAAGAAATGAAAAATGGTATGAAAAGGGGAAATTTTTCTAGCAAGAGAAACCATGGGTTGCTCCCAACAACCCCATTATTTCCCAGTAAAATCCACTAGCCAGCCTCTGTGCATCCTCCCATCAAATAGGCATCTCCTACAAGAAACTGTAAATTAAAGTGATCTACCACATTCATTGGGGCTTCTCTGGTGGCTTAGTCAGTAAAGAATCTGCCTGCATTGTGGGAAACCCAGGTTCGATCCATGGGTCAGGAAGATCCCCTGGAGAAGGAATTGGCAACCCGCTCCAGTATTCTTGCATAGAGAATCTCATGGACGGGGGAGCCTGGCAGGCTACAGTCCATGGGATCACAAAGAGTCGGACACAACTGAGTGACTAACACTTTCACTTTCACCACATTTACTAGAACACACCTCTAAATGGAAATGGAACACCAGCCATCTGGGATGGACCAAATGATGAGGGACAGTGTCTCTGTCTTTGATTGGGATGCTTAGAATCTCCTCCACTGGCCATTTAATTTACATGGAGTAAGATAATTAATACTAGTTACTGTAACAAATAATCCCCCCAAATCTTGTTGGTTCAAGAAAACAAAAGCTAGTTTCTTTCTCACATCACACTGCATTACTGGTCATCTGAGAGCCCTGGAAGACTTTGGATGGTGATACCAAGTGATGACTTGGGTGTCTTCATTCTTCCCATTTTGTGGCGGTGCCATCTTTAAGTCTTTCCTTCCATGAATTAAACATGTCCTCTCCCTCCCCAGAGAGGACAGGCCAGGGTCTTCTCCACTCACTGTCTCCAGCTGAAAAAAACAGGATTTCTAGGTAGTCAGCCTTCACAATTACTTCTTCTTAGTCCACTTCTGTGCAATTACTTCCTCTTAGTCCTGTAACCTATAAACCAAAGACAAGTTCTCTGCTCCTTACCCTGATCCACACACTCAATTTAAAAAGCAGAGATAAGATAAAGCAGAGACAAGACTACTGCAGCAAAAACTCTAATCCAAGAAAAGGAAGCTTAGAAGACACATAGCAGTCACCTGTCCATAGCAATGCAAATTCTGAATCCAAATATCTCAGGCATGGTAAAGGCCTCTATTGTGAATGTGAGGACGTTTTTCTTATGAAGCACAAATTCTCAGAGGAGAGATCTCTTCAACATTGTTCTGTATGGCCCCTGGATCCACACTTCAGGAGTTTTTACCTTGTCCAGTATTCTTCCTGGCCAAATCTGAAGTTAGGGAGAACAACCTAGATAGCATATTAAAAAGCAGAGACATTACTTTGCCAACAAAGGTCTATCTGGTCAAGGCTATGGTTTTTCCAGTGGTCATGTATGGATGTGAGAGTTGTACTGTGAGGAAAGCTGAGCACCGAAAATTTGATGCTTTTAAACTATGGTGTTGGAGAGGACTCTTGAGAGTCCCTTGGACTGCAAGGAGATCCAACCAGTGCATCCTAAAGGAGATCAGTCCTGGGTGTTCATTGGAAGGACT